AGACACAGATAGTGGAGCTGATCCTTTGACTCATTTAACAGCACAGTTCATTCTCTCTGTCACAGACACAGATTGGAGGGAAGAAAAACACAGTTAATCTGCAGAAACTGACTCCAGACACTCCCTACTACATCACAGTTGCTGCAGTCTATGCGAATGGAGATGCCAAAGACATTTCTGGCCAAGGAAAGACATGTACGTCACGTGACTTTACCGCATTCATTAGACCTGTTGGTTACCCATCTACATTAATGCATTTTTTCAGATAGTGCTTAAATTATATAAATTAGGTGATTGTTGACACATTGAATAGAGTTTTATGTGTGTTCCCATAGTACCACTGGGCAGTGTGAGAAACCTTCAGGTCACGGACCCCACGGTCAGCACTCTGAATGTACGCTGGGAGCCGGCTGAAGGGAGCGTACGGCAATACAGGATTTACTACCAGACCGTCACAGGGGGCGCAGAAGACATGGTACGTCCCATGGCACCTCCTAACACGTATATTATGTTCCGGGTCAATTTGACCCGTGTTTTTGAGCTGTCTGAAATACTGGTTACCCTTGAATGCTTTTCTTGAAATTGTGTGACCACTTCTCATTTAAGTCATAAACTTTGACGCACTGAGGTGCTGTGGAATGTTTGTTCAAAATTTCTTATTACGATTGTAATGTTGGCAGATCAATTTGAATTTCTGACTTGGTTAAAGGCAGGTGTACCGACCCAAAATAAAACAAATGTATTTTGTTATGTCAGTTTCTCAACTGCCATCTAAGAGTGTTTATATTTATTACATTTATGCATTTGGCAGATCCTTTTATTTTGTATATATTGAAGGCGTACAGTTTTATTAGTTCATTATGGAAGCCCGTGTCTGCCACTGAAAAAAAATGAAAAAGGTAATTGCGACTTTTTAACACAATTCTGATTTTTTTTCTCTCAATTGTGAGTTTACATCTTGCAATTCTGACTTTTTTTTTTTAGAATAGATATAAACTCGCAATTGCGAGATATAAAGTCAGAATAGCAGGATATAAACTCACAATTGCTAGAAATAAACGTGCAAATCTGACTTTTTTCTCAGAATTTATTTTTTGCAATTCTGACTTTATAACTTGCAATTGCAACTTTTTATCTCACAATTCTGACTTTTTTCTTGCAATTGTGAGTTTACGTCTCGCAATTCTGACTTTTTTTGTTGTTGTGAGATATAAGCTCGCAATTGCCAGTTTTAAAGTCAGAATTGCGACATATTAACTCACAATTCTGACTTTATAACTGGCAATTGCGAGCTTATATCTCACAACAACAAAAAAAAGTCCGAATTGCGAGACGTAAACTCGCAATTGCAAGAAAAAGTCCGAATTGTGAGATAAAAAGTTGCAATTTTTATTTTCATTCGGTGGTGGAAACGGGCTTCCATAGTTTATGCATGCGTTTCTTGTAGCTCATTATCATTTAAAGAGACATGCACCGAAAGGGCTAGCTATGAACAAAGTTGTTTTTGACAAGGTAAAAAGGAAGTTGTTTTATATGACTATTGAAGAATTTTAACCAAGTATGTTACAGACATTTCATGGAGACCCTAAAGAATCATACCAACTTGTGGAAAATGGGCATCCGATGTCCTCTTTAATAATATAACTGATGCAAAAATCCCATTGACCTACATTAAAGGCCAGGATAGCATAATAATATAAAAATCACAGACACTTGGAGTTTGTCTCTCTTGGCTTGGACCAGAAAGCAACCATCAAGCAACCACTTAGACAAGTGCATCGAAATGTACTAAATACACATACAACACATAGCAGCAGTCCCTCAACCATCCTAAACACTGTGCGATTTCGCAGAGACAAGAAAATGAAAATCTTTCATCGTTTTAATGTTCTCAGGTCCAGGTTCCTGGAAGCACCACCAGTACAGTTCTGAAGAACCTGCAGTCTGATACTGAGTACACAGTAACAGTGGTGCCAGTATACGCTCCTGGAGAGGGCAAGCGCATGTCGGAGAACGGAAAAACCTGTGAGTTGATGCAGCCTTTTCTTATTTTAGCATTACTGGAAAGCAACGAATTCCCATATTGATCCATCATATACTCCCCAGTAACAGGAACCCTTCTGCCAAAGTTTTCACTCCAGAATGGACAAAGTGCAGTTTTCTGGCTTTAACATTAAAGTCTTGAACTTATAAATAGAATCTCAGAGACTTGCTCAAAGATTGAATCAGCTTTATTGGATTGATCAATAAGGGAGGAATGCCGATGTGCTGGCAACCCCATAAATGTGACTCCAGTCTGGGCTTAATGAGCCTTCTTTATGGGGTGTAATGACTGGAGATGCTGGTGTGAGGCTTACGAACAATCTATTTCACCAAATGGAAAACCCAGGGAGGTGCAAGGACATAAAAGCACCCTTATTTACTGCTGTCACGTCAATGCTCCTCATTCAGAGTCAAATTAACAGGTTTTTGTTGGCGTCGTTGTTTTTCCACCAGGTGGTTTGCTTCCCATCATCTCCAGTTTGCTTTGCGTGGCTGTGCCCACGTTAATGCAAGTTTTTGTTTTGGTCAAAATCTGGGATCAGGGTTTTTGCTGGTGGAAATCTAAAGCTTGTTCTGTTCTGCTTTTTGTTTTCATGCACCATTCACGATGTGTGTTACCGAAAGCTGTACACATTTACTGTTAAGGCAAGACACCCCAAGTGAATCGGATAAAATACAGAATTTAAATAATAGATATAACCTAGTCTTTCCCACTTAATTTTTAGTATACAAGTTTTCTGAAATATTATTTTTAAATGTGCAAATTGTATCCAAACTAAATATGCACTAATTTGCATACATTTCAGAATCATATAAGAAAATATTGTCAACAACTAGAAAAAAATGTTACCATAATTTTAGGAATAAAGATCAGGTGGATGGTATATGAGCAAACCCCCATGGTAAAAAACTACAGACGCGAACAGATAAAGTGCAATAAAATAAACACTTAAAAGAGTATTTTGGATATTTTCTTCCCACTAAGTCTGAAACAACACTTGCAAAAGAAAGCCAAATAATCAAAAATCTCAAAAATGACCAGTGTATTAACAAAAGTCTCAATTTACTATACAGCTAAACAAGCTGAACAAAAGCTGAACATATACTGTCTGTCTTTTGATTTTGGGGTGAAATATACCCTGGACATGCCCCAAAGCTGCCATATTTCTTAAAGGGGTCATATGATGTTGCTAAAAAGAACATTATTTGGTGTATTTGGTGTAATGAAATGTGTTTATGCGGTTTAAGGTTCAAAAAACAC